TGTTCGATCGACTCGAGCAACCTTGTGATCGATCGAACTGCCTCAAACTGCGTGAAAAGTTGATTTCAAGTCAAATTATGTGTGTGCTCGTGGTGCAATCATTTGGAGGTCCTTGGCATGAGGTCTAACCATTTGGGGTGATATTTGAGCTACCTATATAAGGGTTTTGGCTATATTTTTAGTAGGAGAGGGGGAAGGTTTTGACTGGAGGCTAGAGATTTGAGAGAGAAACATATTATTTTTGGGGAAAGTTCTTCCACTAATCTAGGGTTTCAATAAAGAACTCAAGGAGAAGAGGATGAACTCTACCATGGACATAGCCCTTGAGCGTTGGATGACAACATCAATGAGTGGCTAAACCATTCTCTTGGGGCTAGAGATAGCCCTAAGCATGCCTCCTAGACTTTGATGTTTTGTAATTATTGGAGATTTGTGTTTATAATTCTTGTCATGACATCTTATATATATAAATCTTGTTTCTACAATGATTTATGTAGTTTAATACTTCCAATTGATCATTTCATTCTATCCATGTGTCTATGTATGCTAGGATTGATGTTCATGTGTTTATTTCTAGATTTTGTGATATTGATGCATGTCTATGTGTGTTGATATTATGAATCTAGTGATGGTCAAGGCATGGTGCTTAAATGGATTACTTTTGTAGTTTATTTGATGGTTCATACTTATTTTTTGATGAATTGTGCCACACCTTTAATTTAATTAGTTTAATTTCCATGTCACTAGCTTAGTTGTAGTGTAATTGCCTTACTTTCTTAGATAGGTAGACGATCCATGCTTGTTGTTTGATGTTCCGTACTTATGAATGCAAGTAGTATATTTCTCTATCTTAATGAGTGTGCATTAATTGTGGGCTTAAAGAAGGATCAATGGCTTAATTTGATATATTGTGCTATTCACAAGATTGGTTAGACAATGTATGCTTACTTGTCCATCCATGTTTTGTAATTCAATTAATGGAACACACTTCCATTTACAACATATAATCCCCTTAATCTATCAAATGTCGAATGTCTAGGAAGGTAATGCTTAGTGGTGAACTCTATGACCCAAGATCTCTCTCTCATATTCTCTACACCTCATTCGTTTAGTAGTTTTACATTGCAATTATTTAGTTTAAATTGTAGTATAATTTCAACCAACAAACCCTCTTTTGATCATTCGACCTACTAATCCAACAATTGATTCCAAAACATGCTTCCTTTCCCTTGGGACGATCCCTACTCACTCTAGCTATATTTTAGTTAGTAGTGGTAGTGGCATTCTATAAATTTAAACTTGGCCACACTACACACTTTGTTGCAACTGGGTATTGACACGCACCAGGTTTGACATGAGGTCATTTTTTTTTTTAAGGACTTGAGTCTATTGTTATTGAGGATTCTTTTGATTTATTGAGTGAGAGTGATGTTCTTTCGAGGTTATTTTATGGATATTGACATTAGTTTTGGGGTCTCAGGAGTGAGTGACCCTTAATTGATTGTTTTGAGAGAATTAGATTTAGATATAATCTATTTGTGGAGTCTTCTTGTTCTAGTTTGTGGCTAGGCATGGTTTTGAGGGATTGTGATCTCAGTTGTTGTTTAATGGAATGATTTGAGAGGATTGGAGTTGGTGGAAAGGTATCTTATAAGATTCTTGAGGTTCTTGTTGTAGTTTGTTGTACCAAATAATTTTGCGAGATTTGAGTTACGATTGATGATTTATGGGTAATTTTTGCATTCCATCAAGAGATAGGTGATTGAGGTATACATTGAGGTTTTGTTGATATTTTGGATTTAATGGTAGTGTTTGAGGTATCATTGAGGTTTTAGATTTGACAATTGAGTGGTGATTGATTCTTTAGGGTCACCTTACAGCTTTTAAGGTATGACATTGATTGGTGCTTGTTTGAGAGCAGCATTTGGAGTTTCGACCTGAGGACAAGAATGACATGGTGGTTAGGGTTGGATTGATAAGGAAAAATGGCCTGGCTAGACATTTTTCTTGAATCAATTCCACTCGGATAGATTATCGGGTCAAGGGTCTGATTATTTCGTTTGGGAAGTGATCGTGAGATTAGGAGATTGAATGTCGTGATGATTCGACTTGAATGATTTCTTTTGGAGAAATTGTATATTTTCAGAAATTTTTAGCAAATGGCTCGAGCCATTTTAAAAGCGCTCGAGCCATTTTTGGCCAAACTTTGGATTTGCTCACTGCCTAAAAATGGATTGAGCCATTTTAAAATGGCCTGGGCCATTTTTTTTAAAAAACTTTAATATAGATACCCCAGATTTGTAAGCCATTTTTTTAAAAAACTTTAATGTAGATACCCCAGATTTGTTTCGACGATATCTCATTCAACATAAATCCAAATTAGGTCATATTTGCGTTCAAATTGAAGGATTTTGGTCTAGCTTTCCAGTGGTACAAACCTCACCCCCCATATGGACAACACTTGCCTACTCACCGGTGAGTAGGAAACATATGTTCACCACGTATGTGGTGCATTGCTAAAATTACAAGTGTCCTTATATTTTAAAAATAAAAAATTTAATAGTTATCTGGGTTAAACCCAAATGAATCCGAATCAAATTATAATTCTCTTCTCTCTCATTCGTTAGATGTTCTTTAGCTTCTGGGTCTTGGCTCATCTTTACCCCTTTGCAAAAGGGCTAATGGGAAGGTGAGGACAGAGGAAGGACCTCAACGATCGTGTTTGTTTGGTTAGGATTAATTGCAATTACTAGATCTCTCTGGCCTTTGGGTGGCACTCGACCCCAATAAAAAAAGGTTGGTAAATACTCCAAGAACAAAAGGGTCAATTTCACTGTGGGAGTGCAGAGGGCTCAGTATATAACTAAGCCAAAAACTTAAGGCTCCAGACAAAGATCAGAATCTAATATGAATTTCCCACACCACAATAATAATAATAATAATAATAATAATAATGGAAATGGAAAATTTTCTTTATATATATGATTTTTAAAATAAACAAAAATCTTTTTGACTTTGAATCAAGGATGACAATGGCGTAAAACCTCCTTTCAAATACTAATGTTTATAGAAAATAGACACAAAAAAGTGGTGCATATATTAAGAACAATCCATCATATTTATTTGCAATGTTGGTCCTGAGATTAAAGGGTCTCAACGGAACAAATCATACACTCAAGCGTTCTAACTTCGACTCTGCACAAAAACACTTGATGATGTGTAGAAAAAGAAAAAAAACAAATCTATCATGGAACTGGAACGACCCTCCAATTTGAGAATTACCTGATGGGTGTTGATTGCCACCCAGAGGAGAGATATAGTAATTGCAATCAAACGTGAAAAAAAAGAGAGGAGAGAGAATTATAATTTGATTCGCATCATTTAAGTTTAACCCAAATAGTTATTAATTTATTATTATTTTTTTATTTTTTTAAATGTAAGGATACTTGTCCGTTTAGCAATGGGCCACATACGTGGTGAGTATAAGTTTCGTACTCACCGGTGAGTAGGCAAGTATTATCCTAGATTGTCGGGTCAAAGGTCTGATTATTTCGTTTGGGTAGTGAACGTGAGATTAGGAGATTGAATGTCATGATGATTCAACTGGAATGATTTCTTTTGGAGAAATTGTATCTTTTCAGAAATTTTCAGCAAATGGCTCGAGCCATTTTAAAAGTGCTCGAGTCATTTTTGGCCAGACTTCGGATTTGCCCACTGCCTAAAAATGGATTGAGCCATTTCCCGAGCCATTTTTTTTTTAAAACTTTAATGTAGATACCCCAGATTTGTTTCGACCATATATCATTCAACATAAATCCAAATTAGGTCATATTTGTGTTCAAATTGAAGGATTTTGAACTAGCTTTCCAGTGGTACAAACCTCACCCCCCATATTTGACACTAATGACCATTTTACCCTTTGCTTCAGCATTTATGACCATTTTACCCTCCGCTTCCACATTTGTTGCCCGGGTTCTCGGGTAGGGCTTGAATCAACTTGGTTAATGCACTAGATCATGAGATTTAGGGCATAACAAAACTAGTACTATGATTTTCAAATAACTGACAATGGCTACTTGTTTTGTGATAAACAGTAGTCGAAGTGTCGAGGATATATTATCATACGATTTTATTGTTAGTCCTAATAATGAAGGGGGAGACGAGAACAGGGATTTTAAATTGCCATACTATAGCTTTCAGAGTATCTCTACGGCAACAAATAAGCTCGGAGTGAGGGTTTGGAGCTGTTTACGAGGTAAAAGTTTAAGATACAAACTGAAGTGCTTTGCACTTACACATCTTTCTTCACTATTATTATTTTACTTGACTTGTTAAGTAACCATCTAAATCAGTTTTTACTTCTTTATTTTTGTCCCCTAGTACATTACACAATGGACAAGAAATTGGAGTGAAAAAACTCCTTACAGCATCTCCACAAGTTCTTCGGGAGTTCAGAACTGAGACGAAATTGATTGCCAAGCCGCAGCATGTGAAACTTGTTAAACTATATGGTGTTGCATTGAGGGTGATGAGCACATATTAATCTATGAATATATGCTAAATAGAAGTTTGGATTCTTTCTTGTTTGGTTAATGTTGATGCAAAAATCTGCACGGTCCGGAGTCGAGAATGTTTCCATAAGAGAGAAATGACGACGGGCGTCGTGCCAGTCGCATGCACTCTGACGGTCAAATTAATACTTAACTTCTTGAACTTTTGTGTCGGCTAGATTTTTACTTGGACTAATATTCCCTATCAGTTAGTAATGTCATATATTTAATCTGTTATTGTTAAATGTTTCTTTTACCAAACTTGGATTAATGTTCATTGCATTTTCAATGTTGTGAACTCCAAAACAGATCGAGACAGACAAGAGACATGGGATTTAATGTCCCTTGGCAGGGACGTGTACACATCATTGATGACATTTGTAGACGATTAGCGTACCTACATATTTATTCTTAGTTTTCGAATAATCTACAGAGATTTTAAAACTAGCAACATATTATTGGATGGCAAAATGAAGGCCAAAATAGCAGATTTTGGCACCGTAAAATTATTTTATGGTAACCAGTCCCGAGCAAGAACACAGCGGGTTGTTGGAACTCGGTAAGCACAAGCAAAAACTTCCGCTAACATATACAATTTATATTATTATACATTAAAGAAGATTTAACATGAGTTTACATGGCCCCCCGGAAGGTGACTTCTCGATGAAATCTGATATCTTTAGCTTCGGAGCGTTGCTGCTCGGGATTGTGATGAAATCTGATATCTTTAGCTTTGGAGTGTTGCTGCTCGGGATTGTGAGTGGCAGCAGCTAGCTAACATACCTTTCCTTTTTCCTTTTGCTACACTTTCAGACATTGTGGATTGTATTAGATTCCAAAATTCATGGTCTCTCAAGGAGAGGAGTGTTGGTGGTAGACGAGGGAGGTGGAGACGGGGGAAGATTCGGTAGTTCTGTTTTCAGAGGAGAGGAGCAAAAGACGGCACCATATATTCAAGTGATGTGGATGACGCAGAATTGGGGAAAATTGTGACAACATAGCACTAGAGTTTCGTACTGTTGGGCTCTCAATTTTTCCAGTCCCTCTTTGTACATTTGGTAACACACATAACTTAACATTACCTATAAACAAAAAAACATATTCCACACCAGAAGTTGCAAAATTTCTCCCACCCCGCGCTAAGAAAATTTCCTCAACAATCATCAAGCTCATGACAATATTATGATGAAACAATTGGCTGTGATCAAGTTTGAGCAAAATAATATAGTTCAAAGAGGTGACCGGACCAGGCATGATTTTTCATCCAAAAACTGATTACCAGAGCGGCTGGCAAGAAAGATAGCCATGCTATATACTCGATTGGATCTCCTGAATGTTGTTGCACACAGTGATCCTTTCCAAACTTGATGGCTTCAGAGCGTGGCTATCCCTTTCTTGTTGAAGAGAAAAATCCCTCTTCCATACTTGTTTGCTTATTTATCCCATCACGATGTTTGAGACATTTAAGGATGCCTCTATATTTAGAGAACCAGTTGGTCTTAGCATTCAACTGTCGAATGCAACAGAAGTTTCTACTTCTGAGTCCTGCGGTTTCCGTTTCTTCTCCTTCTGGTGCTGCAACTTATTTAAAGCTTGGTCAGCCTTAGAGACAATTTTTGATACAGTGAACCCCGCCTCTTCAAAAAACTGTGCTCTAAAAGGAATCAAAGAATTGCGAAGCATAACATCGACTCCATTATAGGTCCAAATACCAAAAACAGCCTCACCTTTAAGTCCGATAGCAAACCATCCAAGACCAGCAGCAGCAATATCTGCAGAACTTGAGTCCCAACTGTTCCCAGAGACATGAAACTCCTTTCTCACCCATTTCCCAAGTTCTTCTACTCTCTTCTTCCCAATTGGTGGCTGAATCAGAGAAACAATAGAATAAAAATTACATATTGAAATAGACAAAGCATTACGCATAAATATATATGTTCATGAAAGAACCTTAGAAATGAAATATGAATCTCTAAGCAACATAGCTGGATTTGGGACACTATAATGTTGACACTTGCAATATATTTATGACTCTGTATGATTCTAGACCTACTTATTTGGAATTCTCTCTCCAAAAAAATGGAGTGAAAAGAAAAGCAGGGGGGTGCGGGACCAGCTGGAAGGGGTTTGGTTGTCTAGCTAACAAGTTGGGTTGAGCTGTTGTCCAGTTTCATCTTCTGCTCAACTGGATTTTTCACTAATATGTTTCCAGGTCAGACCCTTCAATCGCCATATGTACAAGATATGTGATGACAACGAGGCCAGAGATTTCTCGTTGAGGTGTTATAATTCTGACCATTATAAGTTTTAAGGGAATACAACTAGGGAAAAAAAGAGTTTAAGGGAATACAGATAATTGGACAGGAAAGTCTCGAGCAAAGAATATAAAAAAAAATCCATTAGCAGGGGGAAGCATACCTGTAATCGATGACCAAAATGATCATCCAGCATTGTACAGGCTTTCTCAGTTTTTCCCATATGTAGTGGAAGATAAGGAGATGCCCACACTGTAATATAAATAGAATCTACTGATGATTCTTCTATATCTAGTCTCATGAGCCCAGCAATGTGAACAGAATGTCCAGCCTGATCACCAATGAAACAAATATGAGCAGTGAGACACAGACACACATGAACCGAAGTGCAATAATTACTAAAAAATGATTTGACAACCCAAAATTACAAGTTCAGTCTGAGAGAACATAAGAAAAATAAGGTAACGAAGGTCAGAAACTACTTCTAGTATGTTAACATAAAAAAAATAAAATAAAATAAAAAATATAAAAAATATTAAAAAAATAAAAAATAAAAATAACTGAGAAATTTAAGATGGTGTTTATACATTAACATTTAGAAAGGATCAGAGGCATGAATTGATCAGGATTCTAAGATTCGGACCTCCAAGATCTGCATGTTAGGTGTTTTATGCATAAGAATGATGCAGAATCAATTATTCACCTGCACCTTCAATGTTCAGTAGCACAATCAACTGATCAAGTAAAGTATTTTCCATGTTTAATCTCATTGGAAGATGCCAAAATAGATGTCGGAGGTAACCAATTGGTAGAAAGTTAAAGTGGGCAATCACGTAAGGTGCTGATTTGGCATCAATATAATTTCTGGTGAAATGTTTTGATGTATATCTCTCAAAAAGCTGTTGTTAGTGGAAGAACAAATAGTGTTCTTGGGGATACATATCTAAAGGACTTCTACAAATATTCTCCTTCCATAAACTGACTCTTTCCGTAAACTTTTACCCCTACTTGCAAACGCCATTCAAAAGGCACCAAATTTGTGTTTTAGCTAAAACTCTCTTACGCCAAAATCTATAACACCAAAAAGTATTTTTTGTGTCGCCAAACACAGATAAATTGAATTTTCAAAATAAAAGTGTTCCTAGCTTGTTGTAATGAGCTCCCTCTAACCCAAAAGGTTAATCTATAGGGTAGTGCTACATACCCACTCATTTATACCCATTTCACTTCCCATCCGGATCCGACATAGGACACCTCTAACATTCTCCCCACCTGAACCCGCAATGAGGGGGCCACTTGCCTACCGCGGTGGTGGACCTAGACACCTCTAGCCAGACAGTTGGTGTGACACCGGATCACGGACGGGGTCTGACTTTGATACCAACGGGTTGGGTGCGGGTTGGGCGCTTGCCCTCTAACCCAAAATTTTAAGCTATTAGGTAGCGCTCTATACCAACTCATTTATACCTATGTCACTTCCCATCCGGATCCGATGTGGGACACCTCTAACACTTGTCCACCCATAGGTCCCTAATGCCAAACATGGTAAGGTTTGGTGGAGAATGGCTCTTCAGTGAGATGTACTTTTTGTAAAGCACATAAGACAGTGTTGCAATAGGAGCTGGAAAGGGCCAAATGTAAGTATTTTTAAGGCAGTTAGAGCATCAAAATTTGAAGCTGAAGAGTGTGATTTAGAAATACTTTTGACCAAAGGAAAACAAGGATTTTATTGTACTAGGAAAAAATAGTTTCTTTACTTCGTCAAAAAACCTCATTTGTAAGAGGATGATTGGCAAAAATAACCTTTGTGGAAAAAAAAAAAAATTATAAAAAAGAAAAATTAAACAATCAAAAAGAAATAACTGAAAGAGCCTAAACTTAACTTACTAAACTAGTCTGGTCCACTACCCATTATCTTGTTACACCTATATGCTCTACCTAAGGCCATATCACACAGGTTGCACTAAACATTAAAACTAGCCACCACTATATCACCACTATATCACACAGTCTTACTGGGGTTGAAATATAAAACACAAAATTTGAAATGGAAATAAGATAAGTCAATAGCAATCACCAGCAAAAGAGTTGTATTCTAACGGTATCTTTATTGAAGCGATTATTGTCATTTCAATAAATCAAATAATAGGATCAACACTAACATCATAAGTTTCAAATCAAGCATGCACCTACTGGTTAATGAAATTCAGTGATTCTTAATCAACTCAACAAATCATTAATAAGAAAATTAAAATCATCCTACCTTGATTCTATATGTCCTTGGCTTCAACTCCTTGCTAACTTGGACAAGTTTCTGCTCTTCCCTAGTCAATCTTGTCAACAACTGATGTGGATGCAAAAGTCCTGGTGTATCAAACAATTTAGACTGACCAGGTAGTATCCCCTCAACCCTTATAATCCCTAGTGTTGTCCCGGGTACAGGTGCTTCTGTCAAGTGACTCACCTTCCCACCAACATGCTTCCCCATTGAATTAATCAATGTTGACTTCCCTGCATTTTGCGCTCCGATCGCCCACACATTCCCTCTAGGCCCTGCCAATCCCACCACATCATCAACAAGATTCTTCAACCCCCAACCCCTCAATGCACTCACCAAATGCACACTTTTTATCTTGTTCGCCCCGCCCTCCCTCGCCCTCGACCTAACCCAATGCTCCAACGTAGTCGGTGACAATGAACTCGGTAACAAATCAATCTTCGTCACAACCAGCACCACCCGCGGCACATTTCCGGATTTCCCCTGCTCCCAAGCCTTAAAATTCGCATCAATGGTAGCCGAAACCAACTTTGCGACCTTCCTGGGAAAGGACCCGTCAAAATCCGCCACATCAACAACCATCAGAACCACAGTTCTCCTCCCACCTGCCGAATTCAACTTCCTCCCAACCGTATGATGAAAATCAAAATCCGGCAACAAATTCTCCACCGTGGGATCTTTCACTGCCCCGTAATGCCGCAACGAGTGACACCTTGCGCATACTATAGGCTTTTCTGGTGAATTAGGGTTAGGGTTTTCTGGGTTTTGGGGTTCTTCTATAAGTTCTGTAAGAAAGCCCTTTTTGAGGGAATTCGAGATCTCGGGTTCGTCAGCGACTGGGTTTCGATCGATTGGCAACTTGTAATTAGGGCTTTTGAGTGACGGTTTGATGAAAAACCCAGGTTGTTTTGGGTCTGAATCTTGCATTGGAACACCACAACCAGGGCAAATGGGGAGGGCTTGGGTTTCATCGTAGTTTCCATCTCTGGTGAGGCTTAAAGATGGTATTATTGGGTGTGAACAGAAGGGTCTGAAGAAGATTTGTGGTAGGGTTTTGGTAGGGTTTTGCGCATAGGGTTTTGTTCGGGTGTCAAAGATTGAAGGAAGAGATGAAGATACAGGTTTTGTGTATGTATAGGTGTAGAGAGAGAGGGGGAGGAGGTGTTTGAGGTTTGACGGAGAGAGTCTCCGGACGATCATTTCTCTCTCTCTCTAAAACCTCTCGAATGGTTCCTCGTCGTCGTCCTCAGTAAACTTCCCAGACTTTGACGGCGGGGTTTAAGGTATTGTTTGTCAATCGAGTTTTTGGGAAGGTCCAATTTGTATGGTAATTTTTGGGTATTAATCTGGCTTAGTTGGTAGGATGACACTGGAAGTCAAATAAAATTTGTGTGATAATTTTGAAAATTAAAATAGTAAAAAAATAGGTTAATTTCACTCCCACCTTTTTTAAATTTGACCAAATATAACTTTTAAATAACTTTCAAAAATAATTATTCATTTCTATTTTTCTGATATTAATCTAGCTTAGTTGGTAGGATGTCACTCGAAGTCAAATAAAATTTGTGTGATAATTTTGAAAATTAACAACAACTTTACCCTTAATTTTTTAATCCTATTTATTCCAAAATATAGAATTAGTTAAATTATCATTATATATAACAACCGCATACGATGGCGGCGGAGACGCTAAACCAGAGATTGCGGGTGGAGTCACAAGACCAGGCAATATGGTGATACCTTATTGGAATTGGAGGACTTTGAATAAGGTCTGCTTATGCATGGGTTCTATCCAGAGTGATTACTTGTTGGAATCAATAGGGCTGCTAAGAATCTGACCTTCAAATTTAACAATAGATATATGGATTTTAGAGAGATGGCATTTAGGTGAATAAATCCAATCCAACATCAATCCATTTTACAATTGGCATCTTCGTCGGCCAGTATGTCTGTTCATTAAGGGAGCGACATTCGCTTTATGTGCTATCCCAGCGGGCTCGCTTTTCTTTCTAATGGAAAATATGAGACAGTACATCTATATCTAAGGCCTAGTTTGGTGTGATGGAATGGGCTGGAATGGAATGACCATTCCACTTTCTGATTTCCATTCTCTTGTTTGGTGTGTCACATTAAAGTGGAATGGCCATTCTAAACCAGAATATAGAATTAGTTAAATTATCATTATATATAACAACCGCATACGACGGCGGCGGAGACGCTAAACCAGAGATTGCGGGTGGAGTCACAAGACCAGGCAATATGGTGATACCTTATTGGAATTGGAGGACTTTGAATAAGGTCTGCTTATGCATGGGTTCTATCTAGAGTGATTACTTGTTGGAATCAATAGGGCTGCTAAGAATCTGACCTTCAAATTTAACAATAGATATATGGATTTTAGAGAGATGGCATTTAGGTGAATAAATCCAATCCAACGTCAATCCATTTTACAATTGGCATCTTCGTCGGCCAGTATGTCTGTTCATTAAGGGAGCGACATTCGCTTTATGTGCTATCCCAGCGGGCTCGCTTTTCTTTCTAATGGAAAATATGAGACAGTACATCTATATCTAAGGCCTAGTTTGGTGTGATGGAATGGGCTAGAATGGAATGACCATTCCACTTTCTGATTTCCATTCTCTTGTTTGGTGTGTCACATTAAAGTGGAATGGCCATTCTAAACTAGAATATAAAATTAGTTAAATTATCATTATATATAACAACCGCATACGACGGCGGCGGAGACGCTAAACCAGAGATTGCGGGTGGAGTCACAAGACCAGGCATTATGGTGATACCTTATTGGAATTGGAGGACTTTGAATAAGGTTTGCTTATGCATGGGTTCTATCTAGAGTGATTACTTGTTGGAATCAATAGGGCTGCTAAGAATCTGACCTTCAAATTTAACAATAGATATATGAATTTTAGAGAGATGGCATTTAGGTGAATAAATCCAATCCAACATCAATCCATTTTAAAATTGGCATCTTCGTCGGCCAGTATGTCTGTTCATTAAGGGAGCGACATTCGCTTTATGTGCTATCCCAGCGGGCTCGCTTTTCTTTCTAATGGAAAATATAAGACAGTACATCTATATCTAAGGCCTAGTTTGGTGTGATGGAATGGGCTGGAATGGAATGACCATTCCACTTTCTGATTTCCATTCTCTTGTTTGGTGTGTCACATTAAAGTGGAATGGCCATTCTAAGGCATTCCCAGAGAATGTTTATTCCATCAAAAAGGTGGAATGTCCATTCCTCTTTCTAAGACGTGGAATGGTCATTCCATTCCCAGTTATTCCCACTAATAAAATAATTAAAAAAATCAAAGACAAAAAAATACCCTTTTTTTTTGCTTCGTTTCAAGCAAGATCTACCACCAAGATCTCTCTCTCTCTCTATCTCTCTCTCTTTCTGCTATACCAAAAATCCTTTTGGATTTGTTTCAGACAAATATATCTACAGGGTTGATATCTCTCTCTACGACACCTTCTCTTTCTCTCTTTCTTTGTGGGAGTTGATCTGCCTAACGCTTACGGCTACTGCCGGTAACAACATCGTCAAAATCCTCCAAAGGAATGGCACCATCATTCTTCCCCCTCTCTTTTTCAAGATCAAGGCATGTTCAATTACTTTATTTACACATATATATACATTTATTTATATATCTTTATATATATCTGAGTAGTTTCATTTTGTGTTTTTGTGAATCATTTTGATAGAAGAAAACACGAGATCTGATTCTTTCGCTAGGGTTTAGGTGTTGAATTTCTAAATATGCTTTGATTTTTTAATTCTATATCTGTGAAATTTCGCAGTTTGATGATTTTAATGATTGATTTGTGCTTAGTCGAGTTTGATTAGTTGATTATGATCTACTTTTTGATTCTGTGTTTGTGTGTATAAATTGCTTCAGCTGGATTATTTTTGTAATCCACTGTTCCATCTTTCGTATAGATGTCATCTTCTGCCGCGATTACGGTCCATCTTTAGTATATATTTTATCTTTTGCCATGGAAGTCTAGAAACTAGATTATGCTTGATTTAGTATTCTATTTGTTTGGGAAATTGACTCAAAGACCGAACGACAGTGGAACTCCAATATGTGCCGAAACTGTAGTAACTGTAGAACAACAAGGCATATAAAATCTTCATAAGAAATATTTTTCAATTATCAAAGACGGTACATGAGAAACATAACCCAATTTATCAACAATATATAATTAGACAAAGCAAATTCTTTCATGGAGGAGACAAAATGAAAAACTTGGGAGAAAATTTTGAATCCTCAGCTGTATGATTGCTAAGAGGAGAGGAAAAGAAAAGAAATTTTTGGCAGATTAGGTGTTTTTTATTCCCAGTGTTCTTTTCTTCTAACTTTTGGCAACCATGTAGATTCAATCACAAGATATATACAACAGAAACACAAAATTGAAGGTAAAGGTACAATACAATATGGAATATAAATATCCATATATAGATATAACTCAAAGGTGTAACCATCATTTCAAACTCAGAGGCTAATAAATAAAAATAAAAAATCTGGGAACATAACTTTGAATAAATGAATGGAAAAGGATGTGCTCTAATCTCTATATGTTTGATGTGTTTGCTTAGAAGATAAAGGCGTTTCTGCAACATTCTAGTGTTTGTTGTGCTGCTGTTTTCTATATAAATGGTTACTCAGGAAATTGTTAATGTCATTTGACTAGTGTATGTCATTCCAATTTTTTCAGTATAATTGCAGAATTATAGTGAATACTACTATGATATTTTAATCCTTTTACGCATTCAAATTTTGTTAGATATTATCTTCAAAAAATTATAATTTGACTGTTATATGTAAAGTTTACAAGTTATAAAAATTTATTTTAATGCAGCAATGGCACGACTCAATTTGGCAACAAAGAAGTTGACAAGAAAAAAGAAAGTTATGGCACTAGGAACAATATGGTCAAACATAGAGTATGCAGTGAGTTGGTGGCTTCAACTAATTTATTGCTTAATGGTGTTTTATATCCAAAAGTGTTCTCTACATAGGAGATTCTAGAGTGCTTCGAGAGGCAATGGATAAGAGAAATGGATTCAATGTCCCTCAAGGTAAGAAACTTGTTTATACAATAATGTTTACACTTTAGTTTATGCTTAAGTATAAAAAATTATCACTAAAACTTATGTTATTATTAAGGTTACTACTATCTTGTTGATGCTGGATATACAAATTGTCAAAAATTTCTTGCACCATATAGAGGACAACGGTATCACTTGAATGATTGGAGGGAGGGTCACTAACCTACTACCCCTCGTGAATTTTTCAACATGAAGCATTCGACAGCTAGAAATGTAATAGAGAGATGTTTTGGACTTCTTAAGTTACGTTGGGCAATTCTAAGGAGTCCTTCATTTTATCCAATTAAGATACAAGTTCGGGTTATTCTAGCTTGTTGTCTTTTACATAATCTTATAAGACGAGATGCCAATAGACCCATTGGAAGAAAGTTTAGAAGCTCAGGAACAAGTGATAACTGAAGCACATGGAGAAACTATTACGACGATCGAAACATCAAATGAATGGAGTAGTTGGAGAGATAACTTAGCTACTCATATGTTTGATGAATGGAGGGCGAGGAATAAGGGAGATGATTTTTCTTTTTTTTTTTTTTTTTTTTAAAAAAAAAAACTTGTGTTTCTTATCTCATTTTAGATTTTGAGTTGCACTTTAAGAAATGTAATGTTACTTGAAATGTTAGTATGTGTTTGTGTTCCATGTACTTATTTGTAGTTCTATAAATGCTACTTAGACTTTTGGATATAGTTTTATGGTGTTAAGTAAACTATGGTTCCTTGTTTCGGATTCATGCTTGTGGTGTTTGGTAGTGCTACACTTTTGAATCTACAAATGCCATTAATTTGGTCTTGTGTTCCAAAAAATGTACCAGCTTGTCAAGACTTTATCTCTAGCCCAAGCTTGAATATGGTTTTTGATGCATGCTAGTGGTGTTTGACAGTTTGTGCAATATTGAACTGCCAGGAGGACATTTTGTTTAGCAGCTATTTAAAAATATTGTTGACTCCCAGCTTATGCATTTTAGTTATCAATGATATATTTATTGTTTAAGGATCTTCTACATAATTTTTATTTTCTAATGAATACCACTGCTAAACATTTTTTATCAGCACCCATATTTTAAAGTGAAATTGTACAATATTTGATATGTCTTTTTTACTTTAATATAATATTTATAGAATACTAGTTAAGTTTAGACAACAAGAAGTTTAGTTTTGTCTTTTATTATTGCTTAGTATA